ATAAGAACAAGTTGCATGAAAAAATAACGTACTTTAATTGAATTTATATTTTGAGTAATGTACTTTTAAAACTTTCATTTTGGTACCTATGATGTAAAGTTTTAAACACTTAAGTACCTGATTACCATGTTGATATGACGAGTGATGTGGTATCCAACTCAGTATTATTTATTATTCAACCCAATTTCATCCAACACTTGCTACATCAACACGGTAACCAGAGCTTCAATCGGTTATCCTTGTACTTAAATGTTTATATAACAAAATGAAAGTTTTGAAAGTACATTACCCAAAATAAAAATCAAGTTAAAGTACGTTATTTTTTCATGCAATTTGCTTTTTAAATAATAACATAATGGATCTTTTGGAGCAAAATAAAGAACGAGATCTTTATTTGTCTTAAAATCCATTCACCAAACGTTTACTAGGTGAACTCTTACCAATATGATCACTACCATCAATTATTTTATCAGGTAACATTATCGGTCATCAAAATGGATTGTTTGTAAATGTTTTTTACCCAGTGGGTACTTACCGAGTGAGGGTCTTCTCCATCACTTACCGGGTAAAAATATTGATCCTTACCATATCTCTTAACCATTAAGCGTCTTAATCTCATTGTAAACAATTACCAAATAATTATGTTTTATTTTGCACTATATCATGAGAGCCTTTTAATTATTCTGATTACTTAATTATTATGCACCAAACCATTCAACAACTTTCAAACAACTCCTTAATACTTTTTGACATTTTATTCGTCTCCCCCTTTATGCTCCAATAAATATGATTGTTTTATACCTTTATTACAAGACGCGTTACATGCACTCGGGGGTGGAAATGTAAAGCATCATAATATGAAATATTAAAGTGCAAATAAAATTAAAGTACAAGGACTAAAAATGAAAATATTTAAGACACTAAATCGTGCATGTCTGATTTCTTCACGCTCATGATCCAAATTATTCAAGTACATAAAATAAAATATAATTATAATTATTTATGCATATTTTTAATATCGATACTTGATCCACCCACCAATTTTAATATTTAATTCATATATTTTTAATATTTAAAAAAAATCCATCAATTTTTTATATATTTCTTAATATTAAAATTAATTTGGTAACAAAACACCCCAAGTTTTGTGGCCAAAATCTAATATAACAAACTTAAGGGTTTGCCATGGAAGGTTTCGGTCAGTAGAAATGGATAGAAACAAATATATAATACGTCAATTCGCGTTTGACGGATCGTATGCAAAAGAGTTGTGATAATGGATGTAGGGAACAGTTATGGAGGACATACAACCAGTAGAAATTGAGGAGATGAACCCTCGCCCCAATTCCTTGTTATTGTCAGATAAAAAAGAGTATTAACAGATATAACGAGAAGTGGGTTCGAGAATGGGGGAGGTTCAAGCGTTCTCAAGTCTCGTTGGAGGTAATAAGAGCATTCTCCCAGATCGAGATTTTGAGTAAAGTTTTGTTTCAACAGATTATCAGATATGGAGACACCATGACACAGTGTATGAGATTCTTTAAATTTGGAAAAGTCTAATTATCTATTATATTCCTAGCAATACGATAATACATAACCAGTTGAATGATTTTTTTTTAGATTTTTATTTGCATAATTTTCTGAAAGATCAGTTCAAGATGCCATAATCATGTAATTTCATTTCATGATTTGTATGTCTGTAACTGATGTTTAAGATGTTCTTTGTATTTTTTGGTGTAATTTCTTTTGCTCGATTTTTGTTTATGTTTTGTCTTTTTTCGAATACAAAATAGACGGGGAGTGTTTTTTTTTTTTTTTTTAATTTTAAAGGTATTGTTGTAAAAGTTCATTTAATCATATACATCGAATCAATTAATCTAATGATTGATATATATCATTTTTTCTTGAATCTCACTGTATATACGTGTGTGCGCGCGTGCATGCACGTAGACGTAAGTAATATATATATATATATATATTTATTTATTTATTTTTTAGACTGAATTACGGATTTGGTCCATGTGGTTTGTGTGAGTTTTACGAAATTGGTCCATCGAGTAAAAACAAAAAATGGAAAAGAACGAAAGTGCCCTCAAAAGTTAACAGAGGAGCTGGATGACCCTTAGAGGGAGGGACCAAAACGACATACGACGAGGCCCTAATCTGTAATAAATGAAGTTCATGAACCATTTTCATAAAAACCACGAAACCACAATGACCAAATCCGTAATTTACTCTAATATAACAATGTATGAAATATTCAATAAAGGGTTGCATTTTTTAAAATTGACTTCAAAAAGAATAGGTATAAAATCTTTTGCCTAACTTTTAAGAAAAATTGACAACATCAAGCTCTTGACTGGCGTAATGTACAATAGTTTCCTTATATAATCTTCTGCAAAGAAAACTGTAAAACACTGTTATTTTGTATACTGTACATACATAGTCACAGTCACAAACGTATTTGTGCTTTTACGACTTCTTAAAAAAGAAATCACCGATTTTTAAGACGGTAGTGAGAAAATTTGCATATAAACATAAATGTCGTCAAGAAATTTCAAGTTTTACCCTTTTCGTCTCGTATATATAGATTCAGATTTACGTATCTCTACATATAAACTGTATTATTATACTATAAAGATATAATTTATTATTACTTTTTATTTAAGTCTTCTAAAGTTGGCTTGTAGGTATATAGAAGCCATCAACAAGTGTAGGTAGAATACCATATACTATCAAAAGTATAACCGTTGACATCGTTTGCTGCTTTTTGCAACAAAAAATTTTTTTGATATTCATGATGAATATTGATGCCGTAAAATTCATAAAAGAAGTGGTGTAAAATTCACTAAATAATCATTTAATTATTGTGATTTAAATTTTTATAATAAAAAAAAGGTACACCAAAATGAGTTCATATCTGTTTTGGAAATAAACTTTTATTTTGGAGTTTAAACAAATATTTCATTTATTTAGGTTTGGAACACTAGACATGATATGACTGAACATAACAGGGATCCTTGTCTCATGTTTGACATGATTTTTATGTGGAACAAACATGAACAAAATGAAATAGACTTGTTCCACTCCTATCCCATGAAACAAACTTATATTTTACCAATATAATTTCAAAATAAAACTTAATTCTATTCTATGACGTAACAAAAAAAATAAAAAAAAACTAAAGTTTGCATAATATCCACGTCATTAATAAAAATAGTGACATGGATTTTGGTTGGCCATTTTTGACGATAATAATTTAACCTTTTTTTTTAATTACTGAAAAACTCCTTGTTTCGAGTAAATTACGGATGTAGTCTCTGTAGTATGTGAGTTTGTACATAACTGGTCCCTAGATTTTACTTATTACATAAATCACCTGGTGGTATGCATATTTTACAGGTTTAGTTCATTTAGTATGTGAGTTTGTACATAATTGGTCCCTAGTTTTTACTTATTATGTAAATTACTTGGTGGTATGCATCTCTAACAGATTTAGTTTTATTAAGAGACATTATCTGAATCGTTAAGAGGTGAATCCTGTTTGGCAAAAAAAAAATGTCAGCCTCTTAATGTTTCTAAAACACTTGGAATGATTTTGTATCGTAAACATCTCTTAACCATTCAACACCCTAATTTCGTTGTAAATAATTACTAAACAGTTATATTTCATTTTACACTATATAATAAGAGCCTCTTAATCATTCTGCATAATACATTCAGCAACTGTCATACAGTCTCTTAGTCTCTGAACTAAATTTATATCTACTTTGTCCGTTAACTACAAGGACATTATGGTCAACTTAATACTTTATCTTTATCGATTTTTTTTAATGTTTTGATTCTTTATCTTCCTTACCATAATCAGTAGATCTAAATAAATAAAAATCATAAAACCGGATCAACTATAAATCTTCTGCATCCCTCTCGCTCCTCGTATTCATCTTTATTAGAAGAAACCCTAAATCTGATTAAAAAGTTCCTCTAATTTGACCTATCTATACTATATTATAAAACATTTGATAAAAACTCTTAAAAACCATTTTTTATGCATTAAGTACTATTTATTGATGCATATTACTTAAAATTCAATGTTACAAATAAACTATGTGTAAATACAACTTATTAAAGCTTCATGTTTGAATTCGTGTAACTATCTGTAGATAAACATAGTCAAATACAAGATAAACATTTCATTTTAAATATAAAAAAACTAAAATATAATTAGGGTAATCATTGAGTTTTAACATAATACTTAATTATTATTCTTATAAAAAAATATATATTATTAAATAAAAAATAAATTATTTCGTTACTAAATCTAAATTGAATTACAATAAATAATCGAATTAAAGAAATTATACAAAAAACAAGAAGTTTTAAATAGTTAATTTGATACTAATATTGATATATTTATTTTCGAAATTTTATGATATCTTAAAATTTATATTTTATTTAAAAATAAAAACATTATGCATTTCTCAAAATCATATAAAACCATATCAAAACATCTATAAAGACGGAATAAAATGAAATATTAAGATCGAGATATATTTCACTGAATTGTGCAAACACCCTTCTGGTTAAAATAAACTCAAAGAACAAATAGTTACCAATTGAAAACTAAAAAGTTTTTGGAGCAAAACTTTGATGTGATCAAACAAATTTCTTGGTTAAATAATAAAAACCAAAAAAATAGAGGAAAAACATTAAAATGGAGAAAGTAACTAAAAGACGAAAATGTCCTCAATGCTAACGGAAAAAATGGATGGTCGTTTGGTCAAAGACCGAATCCGTGAAAAAGTATATATAACCAGGTAATCTATGTAATAAATATAGTTTAGGGACTAATATTGTGAAAAATTGTATGATGTAGGGACTAAATACGTAATAAAAAACGTTTAGGGACTATACTGTGAGAACTTATATACTACAGGGACCAAATACTTAATTTACTCAAATATTTACGAGTATCGTTTTCAACAAGAATCAGAGAAGAATCCGGTGGAATCGCAGATTGAATTGGACAATGAGAAGAGAAGGAGTTCAATGACTGGAATCTCTCTACCGGGGGCGATGATCACTTACAGGATTTGTGTTCAAACTGATTCATCTTCAGTTCCCAAAGCTACCTACGACAACACGGATTTTGAATCGAAGCAATAGATATATGCGTGCTTCGGTTTCGCTGTTTGATATAGTTCAGGTGGGAGTTCATTTTCTAGCACCGATCGAGTATAAACAGTTTTGTAGAGTGGATTGTGATATAACTTTTACTTTCCCATCTTTGGCTATATTATTAATATTAACCCTGTTTTGAGTTTTGACGATGCACCATGAGAGAAATTCACATACCAGGATTCACACATGCTCACATTAATAATTGCAAGAAATGAAAAATGACTCACTAATTAGGGTTTAATTTCAACAATTTGTATGCATCCATGACATTGCTTTATCTTGATAATCTAGCTCCATATATGTATGGAACAACTAATATATTATTGTGAGAATGTGGGGAAACCCCAAATCACTTTCCAAGTTAGCCGATGTGGGACTCCAGCACGCCCCTCCAACGGAGGCTAGATGGACACAAATTGTTGACAGGGGGCTAACCAAGTGTCGGGTCCTTAGAGTGGCATACCTTGGCTCTRATACCATGTGAGTATGTGGAACCCTCAGACCACTCTCTAAAAGAGCTGAGGAGAAAGGCGAGGTTCCAACATATGTACAGGAGAAATGGTCCAAGTCTAGCCGACGTGGGACTCCAACAATTTATTGCTGAAATATACAGGAGAATCTGGTATGTTGTTCACACCATGTAGTGCTTTATGTTGGATGCTTCAAAATCCCAAAGCCACCATTTATGACCTTTGTGTTGGGTAAGCAGGTTTTGGTGTTTTTGGTTGCTATGGGCATAATGAGCAGAATAACACATCCTTGATCCTTGCATAGAAAGGACTAGATTCTTTGGATTACATGAAACTATATCAAGCAGTGAAAATTTGCAACAGACGAAACACACGTGTGTGTGTGTGTATATATATATATATAGTTTCAATTCAAAAGCCATAATGTAGTACATTAAGTAGAGGTAGCTTTGGGAACTGAAGATGAATCAGAACAACACATCCTTGCATAGTGAGGGTTGTATTAGGACGTTCCTTGGGATTGAAGCTCATAGCTCTCACCAGGTGGTGATGTTAAATCATAAAGGGGATAGCAAAACGATATTGCGAATGTTGGTAAAAAAAATGTTTGGGAAGTTGATTCTTGAAGATACTTAAAGACTAAAGAGCTTTGGACATTCAATGGTTTTACTTGTACTCCTCTAGATTACAAGGTGAAAAAGCCCCTAGTAATGTGTTTTAGAGTAATTGTTTTCTTAAAACAGTTTCTCACTTTTGCCCACTTCTCATTCAAGTAAACTGGCAGGGTTTACAGTTCTGTGCATTTCATTTACTAACCTTGCCCCAAGGCCCAATATTTTGACCTTTGATATATATAAAATATGTATCAAAATGTGCAAAGCCCACCATGAGCACTCACACACCAAGCCCAAGTCTTTAAATCATTCATTTAAAGCCTAAGGATTGGTCCTTGCTCCTTATTAAGTGAGTTTCCTTATTAAGGGGATGGCAAAACGGTATCATGAATGTTGGTAAAAATGTTTGGGAAGTTGAAAAAGCCCCTAATACTCAAGTTGAAGGATGTGTTTTTGAGAATTTTTTTCTTAAAACGGTTGTTTGTCACTTTCTCCTTTACATTCTTCTGTCAATGCTGTTGCTATAGATATATCTGATCTCTAGTCATACAGGGGCAGAGCACATGCAGCTAATGCACTTTTCATTTAAGTAAACTGGTAGGGTTTAAGTTCCATGCATTTCATTACCTTGCCCCAAGGTCCAATGCCCATCTTTTGATCTTTAATATATATGTACCAATGTGCAAATCCCACCATGAACACTCACACACCAAGCCCAGGTCCTTAAATCTTTCATTTAAAGCCTAAGGGTTGGTTTTTATTAAGTGAGTTTCATTTCCATGGGGCTCCTATGTGGGCCAACTGGCCAAGATTCCGTTACATTAAGCCAAGTTCCAACAAAATATACGTTTGTCAAAGTTGGGAAAGTCACACACCCAAAAACTCACCACTGACCACTGACCATCTCTTATATAGTTTATTCTACCATGTTGTACTCAATTCACGAATCATGTGATGTTTTCTTCATATTCCTAGGTCCAGGATACAATTTATTTTTTGGGTTGAGCTGTAGGTTTGCCTGTAGAGGATCCATAAACCCTGGCACATTGGTCTGTAAGAGATTGTTGAAAATACATATCAAAGAGAGAAAATAATTTGGATTTCTATAAATAGTGGTTGCATGAAATAATTTAAAGGGTTACGGTATTTCAGGCTTAGGGGCCGTTTGGTTGGTTTTCCATCAAGACTTGTATGGATGAAGCTGTCTGTGTGTATTTATCCGTCTGTATAGATTGTGAAAGTTTTTGTTTGAGAGAGGTTTTTCATAGATGGAAGGAACATGTTTTTTAATCGGGAGGGACAAGTTCGGAAAAACTTAACTTTCTGCATACACCCCCCCCCCCGCCCGCGCGCGCGCGGAAGAAGCTTACTCAACCACTTTCTATATCATTAAGCCACTACCAAACAATCATGTATAGCTGACCCAATAAGCTGCGAGTCCATTAAGCCTATTAAGCTGGTAACAACTAACAAACAGACCCCTAAACGTAGTATTTGAGGAACTCCAGGATCATTAATCCTTTGCCATTGAGCAGACAACAGGTTGGTAACAGTTGTGCTTCATCAGTACAACAGATTGGTTATCTTTAAGAATTGCTGAAAAATGGTCTGAAATGTTATGTGGTTTGCAAAATGAAGTTGAAGATGGTTGGAATCGAAAATTTCTATAAGATTTACTGCTGACATCATTGCAGTTAATTCGGTTTTTCAATGCTTTCTGTGATATCCAATATGGTTGTTTTTTAAGATTATGCGTTGATTATTGGCGTCTATCATTTTACAAACCAAAGAAAAGTGAAAATTTTCCTACATGCAGTAGAAACTAGGGGCAGTAGAAGGTTTAGTAGTGAGATTAATGTACAACATTTAGTTGAACCATTTTTTAGTTGATATTAAGATGATGGCCATAAGCTGTGAAGAATTTCATTCAACATCGGCCAAGAATCAAAATGTACAGAATTGGGAGAATGGCAAGAGGAGTTTGGTTGGGGTTGAATTGAGGAAGTGTGTGGTGATGGGGATTAGGAAGAGTAAGGGCATGCTTGTTAGCAGCTTAATGAGCTTAATAGGACTCCCAACTTATTAGGTTAGCTATACATGACTATTTGGTAGTGGCTTAATGATATAAATAGTGGCTTATTCAATAAACTTTTAGGGAGGAGCTTTATACAGAAAGTCAAGATTTTCCAAACCTGCCCCTCCCAACTAAAAAAAACGTCTCTTCCATCTATGAGAAAACCCTACTAGACAAAAACATTCACAACCTATACAGACAGATTAATCAGCATAGACAACTTTATCTATACAAGTATAAGACTTAATGGAAAAACAACCAAACAGCCCCTACGTCCTGTATGGATAAAGCTGTCTGTGTGAAATAATCTGTCTGTATAGATTGAGAAAGCTTTTGTTTAGGAGGGTTTTTTCCATAGACGAAAGGAGCATGTTTTTTTAATTAGGAGTGACAGGTTCGGAAAAAACTTGACTTTCTGTATAAAGCTCCCCCCTAGGAGTTACTGAATAAGCCACTTCCTTTTTCATTAAGCCATTTCCAAACAGTCATGTATAGCTGACCGAATAAACCGTGAGTCCCATTAACCATTAAGCTCATTAAGCTGCTAACAAACAGCCCCTAAGATTAATAAACAATAATATTAATAGGAATGAAGCAGGAGGCTGAGAGCATGAGGGGACATCATACACAGTATGTACTTCACTTGATAAATTCACTATTCAACATCCACATAAATTTCAGGAAATTGTTTCAGTTGAAGAAAAGCAAATCTTCACTGAAATGAAAAGCAATATTGATCAAGAAACAGGCTTTATTTCTACACGTTCGAAACACATTTTAACGTGCTTTATATCTTGTTGCAGGCATTCAAGGATGTAACAGATCGAAGAATTTTGGGAGTTAAAGTTTGAATGGGCCAAAATGCATAAGTGGAATAGGACATCTATTGATACCGATGTCTTTAAAGAAAAAACGTTGGTCCCTCCAGTGGTCTCAAGATGCAAATCGACACTCACAGATGGAAGCTTTTTTGTTTTCTGCGAGTACCCTACATGTGAGTCTAAATTTAGTTTCATATCATCTCCATACACTTCTCGTACTTTTGACTGCTCAGATTCTTCTCTTTTTCTGCAACTCATGATTGATGATGCATTGGAATTGCATTATATTGAATCTCTAAAGATACTATTGTTCCTAATTTAGAAGTTATTTGATTTAATCACACATAGAAACAAGTAATTCCTAGGTTCCTAATTGTCGACTCCAAGACGACATGGTGGCTTGACAAGTAAAGCAAACCAAACGAGCCGAGTATCCCACCTGAAGGTGGGGTTGGGGGTATGATGTACGCATATCTGATCTTTATCCCGAAAAAGTACAACAATTGTTTATGTGAATACCCCAACTTGTGAAGTGGTGCTTGACGAGTAAAGCAAACCAAACATGCCCAACATGCCACCCAAAGGTGGGTTTGGGGGGTATGAATGTACGCACACCTGTCCGTTATCCCAAAGATAGAACAGTTGTTTCTGTGAATACCCCGACTTGTGAAGTGGCTTGACAAGTAAAGCAAACCAAACGAGCTCAATATGCCACCCGAAGGTGGGGTTTGGGGGTATGATGTACACAAACCTGACCTTTAACCCAAAGAATAGAACCGTTGTTTCTGTGAATACCCCGACTTGTGAGGTGGGTTGACAAGTGGTATAATGGATCTCTAACTGTGTACTTTGACGATCTAAATGGATCATGATTTGATCCATGATCCATCACAAGTTTTAAACATAAACACATTTTTATAAAGAAGTTGTACCTTACAAATATAATGCGCTTATGCTTGCACTTGATAAGTTCTTAAAATATAACAATTAAACTTTTATGATCAACCACAAATACAGATTCGGGCTATGCCTTAGGGCCTGTTTGTTAGCAGCTTAATGAGACTTACAACTTATTCGATCAACTATATATGACTGTTTAGTAGTGGTTTGGCTTATTAGTAAGCTTCTAGAAAGGAGCTTTATGTAGAAGCCAAGTTTTTTCCAAAACCTGCATCTCCCAATTAAAAAACATGCTCCTTCCATCTATGAAAAAATACTCTCAAACAAAAACCTTCCCCATCTATACAAACAGATTAATCCACAAAGACAACTTTATCCATGCAGGACTTGATAGAAAACCAACCAAACAGCCCCTTAATGTTACACGGGCTGTTCTAAGTATTCATGTTCTTACTGGCCCTAATGGTTTCATATCCATTAATCTCAATATGCGATGGTTTGAAAACATGAACTAGGACACATTTCCTCTCACTGCACTCGGCCACAGGTCGTTTTCCCCTCTTTTATGGTGGGTCGTCTTTGTGTTATATTCCTCTTTAACTTTTCTTTTCACAACTATCTCTTCTGTGTGTTGTCAGGCTTTTGAAATATTGTGTAAATAACTCAAAAATCAAGTCCTTAAAGTTGTCTGTTTGGTCATGAAGAATGAAGTGCAAGTTTTTTTACATAAAGAAAGAAAGAATAGAAGAGACTTGGCCTTTTGGTTTGTCTGGTTGAGATACAGTCTTTTCTTACAGGCAAATAGTATATAACGTACCTTAACATGCATAACTTTCTAAAAGCTTTGAATGTCCCATGAAACCCACCTCTCCTTATTTCTTTAACTTCTCATTTAGGACCACAATTCCACCCTCACTATGCACATCTCTTTCACCAATTCTCCCCCCCTCCCCCCTCTCTCTCACTCTCTCTCTCTCCTTGTCAAATTTGGATCTTGATTTGGACCGTAGACCGGTCCACTTGTGCTTGTAGAGCCCAAGTCTTCTAAGAGAACAATTACCGTTTCTGAGAGTGTTGGGATGAAGCTTTTCCTATTGTAGATGATAGGTGTGCGTATATCCCGCTTTGACTCTACCTTCTAGTGGGATATACTATATTTCGTTTGGTAAGAATCTTGACCATAGACATATTCCCTGCATCCCAAAATAAGTGTTCATATTTCTATTTTAGTTTGTCCCGAAATAAGTGTGCACATTTCTATTTTAGTTTGTTCCAAAATAAGTGGTTTGTGGAGGACTATTTAAGGCTCAGGGGGTGTAATGGAAATCTCATATTTCTTTGAATAAAGTTTTTCCCGGGTCCCGTCTCCTTTTCCAAAAAAATAAATAAAAATAATCTCATCTTTCTTGGGTTTGAATATAGGCGCTGCCAAAGCCCTTGCGGCTTTGGAGGTTCACCTAGAATGACTCCAGACCATTTGTGGTTGCCCAGGGGATTAATCGATGCGCGTAAGCTGGCCCAAAACCACACGATTACCCAAAAAATGTAAGCATCCACGTGTTTAGTTTAGTTTGTTCCAAAATAAGTGTCAGAATAGCTTCAGTCCAAAATTTTCATTTTCAAAAGTATGTGCTTACTTTCCGGTTCTACCCGTAATTATGAGATGAAAAAAGAATCGTTAATCCTTTTACTTTAAGTGTAGTAATTACATATTTTTAAAATTGTGGGCTATTTTCATCATGATGTTTGTTTTGGGTGGTGGAAGTAAGTAAACTGCTGAACCATGTAAATATTGTTTGTTTTGAGCAATCATTATGCAACGTATTTTGGTCTACTTGTTATTTTTTGTAAGTTGTAATATATTTCAAAGCCTTTATTTTTGTACCCGACATCTTAAACATTTAAGTACCTAGTTTACACCTGACACCGCATAAAAATGCAAAATACTTAACTTTGGTCCAATTCCTATTTTGTGTAACGTACTTTAATCAACATATTTTAGATGCTACATCTAAGATACGAAAAGAAAGGTTTTGAAAGTACGTTATGCAAAGTATGAGTCAGAACAAAATACACTGCATTTTCATACAATTTCCCCTTTATGAATATCAATATTGTATGATTCTCAATTCTAACATCTCTCTTTCACTCAAATCCACGTATCGACTATAGTTGATTGAATTATGTTTTTTACACCATCATCAGGAGCTCTCGTTTCTGAGCGGAGTACAACCACCTCTAGCCATGGTACAACACGTTAATGCACGGAGGACGCTGAAAACGAGGTAAACTTTCGTTTCGTATTCTAGTTACGTCAATTAGCATCGATGAGCAGTCCGACTGCATGGTATTTAAGAAAAGAATTATTATTCCTTGCCAAAAAAATTTGAATTTTTTTAGCAGCCGTTGACATTTAGTTTAAATTCCCATCTTTTTTCCCCTTTAATTCTCTTCTTTCCTTTTCTTGTGTTTCCTTTTGATCTTGTTACCACCACTCTATCTCGCCGGACCACCACTTAGTTCCTTTACATATTCACGCTTACCCCAGATTTTTACCTCACACTTAGCCTTTAGAAAAGGCTATCCATCTTACTTTGAATTTATACCCATTTTTTATTTTATCTTTGACTCGTAGATTTTGCAGTTATACGTGGAACATTACAGAATAAAAACTTTTGGTGCCACATTTGTACTGGGATAACCAAAATAGGTGGAACAAGAAAATGGGGGAGATGAGACAATATTGGTAAATTACTAAACTACCCATATCAAGTTAGAACCTAAAACCATGTATAATTTTTCCATCCGTCTACCATATTCTTGCCTGTCCAAACCTTTCTGTGTACACTATGTGTTTGGTATGCGGAACATGACCGAATTGTTGTCTTATGTTTGGTGCAATATTTAGATTGGGACAAGACAATACTGAGAGGGATAACCACCAATCTACCATAACAGGTGGAAGAAAAATACAGGGAGTTGGAGACAAGATTGGTAAATTACTAAACTAGCAATATCAAATCAGAACCCTAAAACCTTGCATAATTCTTTCACCATTCTACCTCATTCTTGTCTGTCGTCTCCGTCTGGTTCAGATCGTACCAATTATGCTAGAAAACAATTGTTTTGATGGTTAGGGAAATAGTTTAATTGGGTTCTCGTTAAGAATTGTTTCTTGTACGCTTACTGATCATAAGTGCTTAAATTTGTAAATTTCCAACCGTGTGTGGGACCGTCTTATGGAAAAATTGGTTTTCGGGTTTGGTTTCAATGTTGTTTATTTGTATGACGATCGACGACATATGCAACGGAACACTTCCTTTGATGGTGATATTGGATTTTGCCATCTTTAGCTTTTTTTTCTTATCCTTCAAATGTTCAAGAGAAGGTTTGGTGATTACATATTTGTTTTTTTTCCATGTATACAACAGTCATGAATGTTTCATATATGAACCAACACTGTATCAATATTGTATTTTCACACGTGTTGTTTCATATGTGAAATAAAACATGAAAACTGATTCATAAGTTTATATGATTTGTTGATACGTCTATAAATAATGGATGTGTATCTATGTGGAATGTAAAAAATCATTATAAATAATTAAAATAAATTAAAACTTAAAATTTATGTTTGAACATATTGTTGAGAGAGAAAACACTATGTAGAAAATTATTATAAGTATACAGACTAATCTCTCAAAACACCTTTTATCACACCTACTCTTCAAGGGTATAATTGGAATAAAGCAGCAAAAAACTTGGTTAGCAAATGGGTGGTACGTTTCAATTAATATTAACTCGGGGTATGATCGGAAAAAAGTGACAAACATATTTTATAGCTTATTGAAATGCTATTTGAAGTAGCGTTTTTGCCAATTTCAACAGGGCTTTTCAGACAAGCTTAATTAATAAGCTAAACTTATGTTTGTCAAACATGACCTCTTCCTTTTGTCGCTTCACTTATAATTCACCTATATAGAACATGATTTCAATCAAAAATTCTTAACAACTGAATATTTTTTGATAAATTAGTGATTTATATATATATATATATATATATATATATATATTGATTAACCTGGATATCCAATCCGCTATGCGAGCCGATTAATCCCATGACGACCACCTGCTTTGCAAATAGTTTGAAATCATCGCATTTGAAACTCCGTGGCCACAAGAGGATTTTTATTCCTCCTTGGATTTGAACCTGAGACTTCCTGATACTTTTGACATTTGGAGCCAAGCTCAAACCAATCAGACACTACCCTTGTGGTTTAGTGATTTACATTTAATATTTTATTGATATTGCATTTTTGGAAATTTGAACTTTTAGCTAAAYGTCTTATAGAATTGAAATTATGAACTCACAAATTGAACATTGAAGTTTAAATTCAAGAAAATTTCCCAACAAAAAGCAAATAATGAGCATGAAAAATATGTAAAAATTCAAAAGAACTAGAAGTGGGCACTTGTAAACTCCATGGGTTCAAAAGGGTATTCTTTGGTTTCCAAGGGGTAATTTGGTCATTTGAAGTGCTTCTGGTAAAATTACCATTGTACCCTTTTGGACCAAGACCATGCTGTGATCACCTTGTACTTTAAGCTTCAACAATTGCCCCATGCTTCGGAGGCAGTTGTAGGCTCGGCAAAACCGAACCCATGGGTTGGAATCTCTATACCCCCCGTGTACGTTAGCATATTCCTCATGTTCACGCTAACGTTAACGTCAGCACCACCGCCATGATGGTGGTGGTCATCCTCTTGATCTCCGGTCAACCCAAGAAAATCCCTGGTCAAACGGTCCGTTTTCTGCCACGTGGCGATATTCCCAGAAGTCAGACCCATGTGTTGGTGGTATTCCGGCGAGATCACGGCGGCTGTCGTCGTCACCTGAACCAACTCCCCCATATCCAACCGACTCATTGTGGACCCCACGTGATCACCCACCGCACCCACCGTCGCAGCCTTCTGGAGGAGTGCGGTGGCAGAGAGGTGGTGGGCCGCCGGAACATGATCTCGGCTGGTGCTGACGTGGAGGCCATGGAATGTGGTCGCCGGCGGTGAAGTTATCATCCTCAGTTGTTCCTTATTGGGTTCTTGGTAAAACGGCGTCGTAATCGCCGGAAGGAGATGCTGGTGGTGGATGGTTTCGGGTTTGATTCGGGTCGGGTTAAGGGTTTGGGTGGGGACCCAAGTAGCGTTTAGGGTGGGAGTGAAAGGAAAAAGAGACGAGGAGGGGTTTTGAATATTTTGTTGAATGTTGAAGGGGGTTTGTGTAACATTGTTGGTAATTGAAGGGTGGTGGTTGTTTGTTATTGATACTGCAGCGGCTGCAGCTGCAGCTGCAGCTGAGAGCCTGGCAGTTTCTTCAGCCAAGGCGTCACAGAAAGCTCTGTGAGTAATGAAGCTATCTTTCCTATATAACCATAAATGTATATATGAGAAGTCATCGATAACTTGTATATCATGCAATAAAAAACCGTACAATTTATCAAATAGTCTTTAATCTAGCAGTATCGTAGTCTTTGGTCTCCTAAAAGGTTAGAGGTTCAAATCCCACCAAAAATGGAAAAAATGTGTGAGTTTATTTGTTGTATTCACCGTATATAAATATTATATACTTAAAAAAAAACCCAATTTGAATCAAACGATTTCAATATATCTCATTCGGAAATCAACTTGTGAAGCTAGTTGTATGCAAATCTGACTTCTACTATAAAGATGTACGTAAATTTGACTTCTACTGTAAAAATGTATGCAAAAACAATGTTTTTTTGACAAATAAATTATATTGTTTATAAATGATAATTATTTAATGAATTTAATGTATAATAAATTATATTTAAAAAACATAAATTTATGTGATAATTATTTCATGAATTTGTTGAAGTTTCTACTTTTTGTAAGGCAAAAAAGAGTGAAACTTCATGATTATAATGTAGAGACTGTTGGTACTCACTTCTATAAAATCTAAAAAAGTAACCACCAAATGTTTGTCCATTTCTATGATTTTAGGGACAATAATAAATAACCCATAATTTTTTATACTCTTAGGGTATTTTTTCCCCATCATATGACCCTATAATGTACTCCAAGTGACACAATATATATATAGCCCTAAATAATTATTCACAATTTAGTATATATGTATATCTATCGGTAACTCCGAGAAAAGTCCATTTGAATATGCAATTTCGAACTTACGTTCCATTAACTGCTATAAACATATGAAAATGCATTTATGAACCCGTGTTTTTCACCCATGATTCACATGTGAATCGTTATTCTCAACATTTTTGCCATTCTTATTTGAATCTCCGTGTAATTATGTATGTTTGATATATAGTGTAATTTTGTTATTATAAATCTTATGAAAAGGGGGTTTACTTCTCTCTTTTTATCATCATGATAGATACAACTTTTAAAAGGTTCTATCAAATTCAATGTAAAATACACGAGTGAACCGTAAACTCATGATCTTTAGGTTATCTTATAAAAAACCTAATATTCTTAGTGTGTTATGTATATATATATATATATAT